CCGCTTTCTAACGCCGCTCTTCCGTGGAGCTTGTCAACTTGATAGATCTAAGTACGTTGGTTTGTGCACTGCGTTCAGTCTTATATTACCATCACGTCTGACTGGCGTAAACATGTTTGTTTGTTTCTCACATATGTCGTAGTAATTCCTGTCTGGTTTCCAATGCTGTTAGCGCCTAGTTAACCCCTTGGCGTCACGGTCGCTCGGTTCGAACGGGCGGATCCCAGCGTAGGCCCTCGGAGATCCTGCTCTTAAAACATGCCGTTCTCGTTTCGCGTGTATATTCCATCATATTAAGCTCCGCGCACAGAATTGCCAAAGAAGGCCTACCTGTCCTTGGCTTTCTTTGCCCCAGGTAGACGACAACACGCAGGCGCGCTGTCTCGCCTCGTTTTGTAGGGTGCCTCGATTTGAGGGTGTTTCCAACTACTAGACCGGTGTCACGTGGTCTATGGTCCGCGTTTGGAATACAAACTTTGCTCAGCCTCTCCGCCAGCGAGCCTCCTTGTGGCGTGACAACTCACGCATGGGCAGGAGCAAGCAAGCTGCGCAGGAGGTGTCCGTCGTTAAATTGTCAACGCTCTCTCGAGTTGCGACCGCTTCTTAAATCTTTAGGCTCTCAGACTCTCATCTGGTTTGTTTGAAGCTGACGCTCATTCAGAAAGCTGAGATTGAGTCGCGTTTGCCCTTACAAAAACAGGTCTCAACATTCTTTTTAATTTCTTTAGACTTCTTATTGACTTTTCGGGATCCTATTGACTTTCTTTATAAACGCACTTTCTTTTGATTATTGTCAAAAAACTTTCAAAAGAAAAAATAACGACTTTTTTTTGTAGACTTATTTATACAAAAATTAAAAAGAAATCCTAATGACGTTTTTCTATAGGTTATTTTCTAAAAAAATTCAAAAGGAAAATATAATGAATTTTTTTTGTAGACTTATTTATACAAAAATTAAAAAGAAATTGTAATGACGTTTTTCTATAGGTTATTTTCTAAAAAAATTCAAAAGGAAAATATAATGAAATTTTTTTGTAGACTTATTTATAAAAAAAATTAAAAGAAGTTGTAATGACGTTTTTCTATAGGTTATTTTCTAAAAAAATTCAAAAGGAAAATATAATGAAATTTTTTTGTAGACTTATTTATAAAAAAAATTAAAAGAAGTTGTAATGACGTTTTTCTGTAGGTTATTTTTCAAAAAAAATCCAAAAGGAAAAAATAATGTCATTTTTTGTAGAACAATTTAAAAAAAATTAAAAAGTTGTAATTGCTTTTTGAAAGTTATTTTCAAAAAAAGTTTTAAAAAATTATCAACATTATTTTTTTATTTTATGAGAGAAAAAAAATTTAATCTTTTACTATTCTATTAAAAAATATTGAGGACATTTTTTTATTTGGGAGAAATTTTTGAAGAATAACAGGTCACATTTTTTGAAAATATTGAAAGGGAAAATACATTTTCTATAGGTTTTTCTCTGTTGGCATATTTGTAAGAGTTCTAAAAATGATAGTAAGTTGTTTTGCACTTTTTCGTTTAATCTAGGATTTTTTTTTTTAGAATCAGACAAAGGCAAATGACCTTTTTCATTCCCTTTCCTGTTTCTATTTAATAAAACATTCCGCAAGCACAACCCTCTTAACATATGTTGAAAAATGGCTTCAACTTGACATCTGTACATAGTAAAATTCTTATTTTTATGGCAGTGCATTTTTGTTACGTCAGACATAACAAAAATAATATTAAAGTTACGTCCGACATAACATAAAAGTTTGCTGTGCCTAGCGTTAAGTCGGGACGGATACTTGCAAATGCATCTCACAGCTATGTTTCATCCTGTGCGGCTTGAATATATGCATGTGCCAGAATTATATAGATTGATGACATACTAGAGTAGTTTCGTGAGAATTCAGAAAGCATCACACACTCTGCATGCTATTCGGAGTTTGAAATGGAACACTGGTGACACAATCTGCATAGAGGTGTACACGTTTTGTTCCTAGATTTGTCTTCAGTGTGTATGTGGGAATATATGTATATAAAAGTGCCAATGATTTATACTTACTGTAATTAGCAGAAGTGAAATTTCGCAGCGGCTTTAATTAACCTTCCTACAAACTCTATTCTGTGTGTGCACAGTTATACAAAACTATGAAATATAAAACCTAACTTCTCGGTTTTATCAACAGGTACTATTAAAAAAATGTACCATGATACAATGCAACAAAAGTCAAGAAGAACAAATAGTGATCCTTTATTCACAGGGCAAAGCTTGCTCAGGATAATGCCGCATTACTCTATGGTGAAACACAAAATACAGCATAGTATGAAAATTGCTTTACTAGTTGCATGCACATGGAGAAACGACAGAACAATATTGCAATGGACACTCCATCTTTTAAGTAACAATATCAATCACGCTTGGCAGCCACAAGAAACTTGTCAACCTTTATGTGAGGATGAATTAGTGTTTCTATGCAGGAGCTGTCTCTTGATAGTCACCATGCAATCCAATAATAATAAAACATTCCTCTATATACACCAAATCATTGTTTATAAACACGTATGCATTTGCCCAGAGGAGCTGTGGGCACTGCACTTGTGCAAGAACTTGTTTTTTAAAGAGTGAAAGATCCTGTACATGCTCCAACAGTCCGTGCACCTGCCTTGACATGATGCCAGATACAAGTTAGTCTATAAAACAGCAGAACTGTCACATGTCAATTTGCACTGTAAGCTTCCTAATGCCATCTAACAATCTCTCAAAAGAAGGAAAATGGTGTAAATATCTAAGCCACAACATGCATTGTGACTTGTGGCAAGACAGAAAATGAATGCTCTTTGGAATCATTTATAAACATGATACACAAATATACTCTCAATCCAACACTCCTGTGCATTCATACTATCCAATAAAAGTCACGTTGGCTCTCTTCGTAGCAAATACTATAAACCAATGGTTGTAAACCGACATATGAACATCTCCAGTTTACCGAGATGGTTGGTGGCCTACTCACACTTCCACACGACTTAAGTCGAGATTAGCCTACCCAAAACCCAGATTGGAAATAGGTGCGTACTCTCATCACTGCCTCAAGAAAATATCATTTCACACAAAGTGCATAAGCTGCACAAAGTAGTTTTTACAAGGTATGGGTGTCAGAGAAAAAAAAGTTTTTTTTTTCATTTAAAATGTGTTCCATTTTGATACAATCTAAATCCTAACTCATTGTAAATGCATATAACCATACGGTCACTATGTAAAAGAAAAAAAATAGGTAATGGCAAGGAGCCACTTTTTTTATATGGTTCTTGAGGTGACTACGAATCCAGAAAGACCGACATTGCATGTGGCACCATCGTGAGAAGGGAAAGAACCAGAACAAAAAGAAACAAAAGAACACTAATGGCTATATTCATGCGCAACAACAAAACAATGACTCTGTGGGAAGTTCGACTGAGTGGTCAAAAAAAAAGAGGGCACAAAGCTAGTAAGTGTTTCCAGGGCCATGGATAATCAATACCATAGCTGCCTAGGTAGAGCCCGGGTCAGTTGGTCATAGAAGATCAGGGATGGCCATACTCACACTGCCCAAGAGCGGCAAGCAAAATTGTTAATTTGTAAAGGGGAGGAGGTAATTTTGTCACAAAGGGCAGGCGAAGATTCGGCAAAGATCACTAAAGAACTGATAGCTCAATAGTTTAATGTGGAGAACTTGTGCCAGAAACAAATAAAAAACGGAGCGTCGGGAAAGCAGAAAAAAAGCAAGCATCAAGGTGCCGACGGGACGGCAGGCTCGAGTGAGACTGACTCGGCAAGGCTGACCGTTTCCCTACTGCGACGAGCAACATGCTTGAACATGTTTTTTTAACTATGCTTTCACTCACGAGCATGCACACAGAGCCGAATTGCTCAAAGTGTTGCACTCGCATCCTGCAGCTGCTGACATAAAAGGCCTAGAGTCGCAACCGCGATTCACTTGCCATATTTATCATTAATAGCCCAAAACAGTGTCGCCGTACAATGCTTCGCTGAGAGGTATACACTGCGTCCTAACTTGCTTTGCTTTGCTCGCCTATGTGGTGAAAAGAAGTTACACTGCAGCATTTACTAGCCAAAGCAACAAACGAAAGCCTGGAATTAGAGAGGATTTAACCGGTGCAACTACGCTGCACGAACCATGGCACCCATGAACCATGAACCAGGTGGTTCATAGGCGCCATAATGCGGCTGCTGTGGGCCAGCTACGTCAGAATTGTGACAATGTTGCCTGGTCTCCAAATGCAAATGAGTAACATTAAAAAATTAATTTCTTGAAATAGTAAAGCTCTAAAAATTCTGAAAGTTGGTATGTATATTGAGCAACCTATCAGGGTTTCATATCAAGAGTCACCCGACTTAACTAATTTTCATGTAATGGCCCCTTTAAAGGGATACTTCAACGAAATTTGAAATATTCTCGTCGTGTTTAAAAATAGGTTGAATATGATCCACAATATCCGTAAATGACAATCGCACGTTTGTATTTTGAGCCTGGTGGCTGTATTTTTGATATAAACGGCCCACTCTGGCAAGCGCTCGGAGAAGGCCCAGCGGAGACCACGTGACATCCAACGCAATCGTGACGTAGGTCGTCCCAAGACGAGCAAAGCTACGGCTAGGCTGACGTCGAGAGGATGGCCTAGTCGTTCCAGCCACCGAAGCGGCTGCTTTTGTATGAATTTTGAGTGACGGGTTAATCTTCTGTAATCTTGTAGGGGGACAATAGCGACTTCTGCGACATACAAAAAGCATTCCCGGGGAGAGGGGAGTTCCTGCTGCCCCACTTCTCTCGTCGTGGCCGGAGGCGAGACAACCTCCGTCAATAGCTGTCAAGGTTCCTAGACGGGCATTACAAGCGAGGCGTTAGCGACATCCACCAGGTGCTCTTTGCTAATCGTTTAATTCGTTTTAAAATTCCTTTTCGTGACTTTTTTAACAAGATATTGGTGTGTTCGATGTGATGCTGCTCCTTTGAGCACATATAGACCAAAAAATGAGCGCCGAAATTTCGTTGTAGTATCCCTTTAAGAACAGGACAGGTGCATCGGCAATGAGATCACACCTTAAGGAAGGAGCACTAAAAGGGAAGTTTTAATGCAAAAGCATTAACTGCCTCATGGAAAGAGCCGACGTCTTCAGTTTGAAGCGCGAAAACGGCTTCATTAAATCTTATGTCCGCGAGGCAGCGGCTCCACCGCTCCACGCCCAAGGTCAGCGCGCTGTACGCCGGAGACCAAAGAAGGGAACGAAGAGCGGCATACGTGCTTTCGCATTCACAACTCATAAGAAGTACTTAGGTGCACCTCGAGGCTTTTGTTTTTATGCTCCTTCCTCACTGCAAGCTTTCAGACAGACTCAAGCACATAGGTATCATTCACAACGCATAGACAGGTGCGAGAAGAATTGCAAAGAACTATGCACTTCTGAACAGATGCAGCGTCCTTTTCGATTATTGCATTAGTGTGTTGTACTTCAACAAACTGTACTAGAGAAAGAGCTCCAAAAGAGCTGAGAACAAAGTCCTTTACTTTCAGTTGTTCTAAACGCAGGGTCACATTTTTGACACAGCTACATGACGTGTGCCCCCGCTTGCACCAAGCAACAATGGCAACTAGCTGCCCGAATATGCCCCCTACAAACACGTAGGAATTCTTCCTACGGGACTTGTCCAGTGCTTTGACACAGTACGTGAAGGCACCAATTCTAACCTTCTTGAAAAGGACTTTGTCTCCTTCGGGTTGACCCTTTCCTTGGAAGATTACGGCACCATTCTTTACCACATGCTTCCTCAAGTTGTAGCCTTTCATCAGTGACCTGAGCAGTACCGCGATCTGGTCATCAGCACTGCGGTTGGAGGCGACTGCCCACAGTTTCGGAAGACTTCGGATTATTGAAAACTTATCAATAATCTGACATTGAACATATCTTGTCCCATTTACAAGTCGTACAAGTTTCCCATTCATTGACTCAAAGGGATATGCGGAGTACCCCCAGAGGGGTCCCCACAGTCTCACACTATCTATCAAGTGGAGGAGTAAGTGCGTGTTGTAAGTCATGTTGACTTGGCCATAGAGTTCCTCGAACTCTTTGAGGAATGCGGCCATTGCTCTTTTCACCTGTGGAAGGCTGTCAAGTGGAACTGAGCGACTCAACAAGAAGTGCATGATACGCACAAACTTCAGCCAGTTGTCGAAGTACTTTTTCGGGAGGAACCCCTTCAGGACCACAGGAGAATAAAAAAGCATCCAGCTGCGCCATTCCGACGACTTCCAGAACTTCATGTCCTTCAGAGATCTGGGAAGTCGGGAGATCTCCCAGATTGGCTGCAGCGCTTTTAGTTTCATGTCTATTTCAGACATGAAACTACCCAGGTGGTAGTGCTGCCCACTCCGACCTTTGAACCACATAAAAGCCGTGGATCTCACGAACCCGGAGCACACAGCGTGCATGTAATCAACAACGAAACCTGAGGCAAAGTTGAAAAATGCCAATCCGAAAAGAATGCTTGCACCCTTAACACCATGGCTTGGTGCACCTTGCTTCTCCGCCTTCTCAGAATGATGGAGAAACGACTCATGAGACCGTGTTGTGCCAACGACCGCAGGGTACACTCTTACATGGCCTCGACCTTTCTCCACGACCTCTCCTTCGGCCTCACACCAGCCGCACCCAAAAGCCCCATTAAACTGAGTCATATTCATGAGCATACAGCGTGCAACAGTATCTACTGTACATGGCCCTGGAAACACTCTAGATACTTTTTGTGTGCCAGAAGCATCAGTCCAAGGAACACCCACAGAAGACAGTTCATTCATAACCTCCACAAATGGCTCCAAAAAACAGTTCATGTCTGGCTTTTTAGGGCCAAACCACAAACCTGCTAGCAGCAGGTTCTGCACGCGTTCGTGAAATGGCAGCTCATTCACTTGCAGAAGCAAAGGCCAAATGCTGTAATTCGAAGACTCGAAAAGCGGAACACCATCGGTATTCCACGTTACGCTGAGATCCCCCTCTTTCAGCGGAAGGCTGTGGTAGGCAGAGCTTTGTGTGATGTCCTGCACATCATACTCCAACGTTCCTGGAGTGCTCAGGCTCCCACTCAACAAAATGTCCCGAACCTGGGACTTAAGGTCCAAAAAAACAAAATAAGCACCCTTCGACACAAGATCATCTGCTCTATAAACAGTACTACAGACCGAGCAGGATACTTCTAAGAGAGATGCAGTCACTTTCCCCAGATTACATACGCATTGGGGGCAGTATAAATACATTACCTTACTGGCTTCGTCCCCAGCAAAATGCTTAAAAAATAAAAACTTCGACCTGGGAAAAACTGTTCCCTCCGGAAGATGGGAGTCCACAAGCTTCAGAAGGCTCTCGGTTGATTCCTTCGAAGAGTCGTACCGCAGGCTGTGGCTCATCACCATTATCAGGCTTTCCGCTCTCGTCAGCTTGGCCCCTTGATACAGTGGTTCATCCTGTGAATTGTGTAGATGAATTAGAAAGACATCAATCTACAAAAATTGTGTACTTCTGAGTTTAGGGCTGAAAACAAAAGCAAGTTCTTTGCAGGACCAAGAACACTGTAGTGTTGTTCATTTCGAGTTAAAGGGATGCTGAACTGAAATCTGAATTCCACAAAACACGGCGGCAAAAGCGTGCAACAGGATGCTACAAACACCAAAACATCACTCATTCAGCGATATCTCAAATGGATGACTGTATTTTTTAAGAAAAAAGGAGGTGCACTTGACAGATATGTTTACGTCTTGTTTCTACGAGAAGGAGACGGAACAGCCTCGCGTCTTCTTCGCCTCGCCGCCTTGAGGGGGCGAAGCGAAGAGAGGAGGAAACGAGATATCTTGATGTCACGCAGTTTATCGGCCTCGCTCAATCGCGACCTCTTTTTCCAAAAATACGGCCGTCCATTCGAGATATAGCCTTATGAGTAGTGTTGTAGGGATTGTAGTGTCCCGCCTACATTTCCTGCATTTTTAAATCCAAATTCCAGGTTTTGCCCCTCATGTTATGGTTTGAGACCTGAAGCATGGCTACATTTCACATCAAGATTTCTGTACACAGAGTTAAGGCTGCACGACATAGTTCGTATAGCATTACCCAACGTGAAAAGAGTAAAGCTATACGCACTACATAGTGCACCTCGACCAGAAATGGTTATACTCACTACGCGAAGAGCTCACGCCATTTGGGTCACTCTTTCCAGGCGGCGCGTGTATCAACGGGAGACGTGTTACGCCAGCCCCCTGCCTGTGTTCACGCCGCTTTGCGGCGAGTGTGCGGCTGCTAATTACAAAACTATTAACCCACATGCCCCTTCCCCCCATACACGACACTGCGCGGCGTTCAGCCAGCAACCCGAGCCCCACTGTCCCCGATCGTACCTCCCGAAAGGGAGTCCCATACCATTTAATTCAGCAAAATTTCCTCAACGTTTCCTTTTTTTTTTTTTTTTCAGTGTTAATTGTAAAAAAGAAATGTCGTAAATATTGCCAATTGCTTAACAAACATAAACGTACTAGAAGAAAAGAAAAACAAAAAAGAGGAAGTTTACACAGGGGTTCGAACCCCATCGAATAGGGCACCGCTGCTTACAAAACAGACGCCTTACCACTAAGCCACGCCACCGCGTCGATAGTTTGTTGTAACCATTCTTGTTATACGAGTTTCGGGTAGTCCGTATAGCACTTTCCAGCCGGGGTGCACGACGTAATGCGTACAGCTCTACTCAATGTGAAAAGCGAGGTATATTACCGTTTCCCTTTTGGCCCCTGCCTCTTCTGAACTCGGGGGGTCGTCTTCGCCTTCGGACGAGGGCGACTCCGACACCGGATCTTCCGTGAAACGTTCATTTGCTACGCTTCTTTGACCAGACGTTGAGGCTACACTTGCATTTTCTTCGTCCAGAACGGTCATCGATGCGCTCCCGGGACTGTCCACTTGTGGAATGCCAGGACTCAGCTCCGAGTCGGAGAGTTCGCTGTCACTGGATGTGAGCACAAGCGCTTCCCGTTTTCTTTTTTCTGCTTCTTTTCGAAGTCGATGCTTCGTGCGGGTCGGCACTTCGGAAGAAGGGTCCCACAGGTACTGCTTATACGGCCGTCTTTTCCCCATGCTGCGCTCAACCTCATACAGAGGCGTCCACGATCAAAAACAGAAGATAGGGATGTGACAGTGATGTACCAACACTACGCCACTACGCTATAGTCAAAACGATCAAACCCGATTATCGAGCGGTATCCCACACGAACACCAAACCGCCGTGAACCACTAAACCACACCGACCGAACCGGATCGAAGCGCACGCAATAGCGGTCAGGGACTGGATTGGATATAAACTACCTACTCACTGGCTTGCACAATAATTGGTAAACTTTATAGTTCGACATATTTAATTACTTACAATTCTTTCATGCTTAATAATGTAAAACTTATTTTAATAAACCGAAACATTTATGTAAATGTAATTCCCCATCGTGTAAAACAGCGAATGTCTATGCCTCTGCTGGCAACAATGTGTTCTGTTTCCAGTGACCTGCTCCAAGGGCTTGAGACAGGGCTGCCCGCTGTCGCCGCTATTGTTTATGCTGTACATAGCAGGAATCGAAAAGCGGCTGCAGGAGAGTGGGGAGGGTTTCTCGCTGGAATATTCGGAAGGCGGGGAAAGGAAGGGAGGAAAACTCCCGGGACTCATCTACGCCGACGATATGGTGCTGATGGCGGACTCGCTGCAGGGCCTGCAGGGGCTCATGAACGAGTGTGGTGAAATGGGAGAGGCCCTGGGGCTTAGTTTCAGTTCGCACAAATCTGGGCTGATGGCCTTTGGGGCAGCAGAGGAAAACGGGACCGCCAACCTGTCCATTCAAGCCAATCCTGTACCTTGGGTGGACCACTACAAATATCTGGGTGTAAACCTACAGAAGGGACACCACTACCTCCTAGAGCACGCGACGAAGGTCAAGGCGAAGAGCAGGAAGAACAAGGGCATAGCAACGGCCAGGGCCCTCTGGGGATATAACCGATACGAGGTAACCCGAGCGGTCTGGAAGATGGTGGCGGTGCCGGGGCTCACTTTTGGCAACTCAGTGTTGTGCCTGTCATCAGGTACCAGGCAATACCTCGAGGTCCGTCAGAGGGAGGTGGGAAGGTCAGCACTGGGAGCAGGCCGAACAGCACCGAACGAAGCCGTCCAAGGAGACATGGGCTGGTCCGGTTTTGAGGCCAGGGAGGCCCGAGCCAAGCTGGACTTCGAGCGACGCCTCAGCCGGATGAGCGAAGAGCGCTGGGCCAGACAGGTCTTCAAGTATGTACATCTTCGGTCCGTCCCAACCCGGTGGGTGCGACGGACGCGCCAGCTGGCACAGCGATACGAGGTCAACGGCCCACTCCTCTACCCAGCCGCGGAGCAGCCGGAACTGCAGCAGAGCATCCGCACGAGGGTGATCGAGAGCGAGACGCGGCGATGGGCGGAAGCGGCACGTCTGAAACCAGCGCTGGCCCTGTATGCCAGAGAGAAACAGGAGGTGAAGCGAATACCTTTCATGGACAACAGCAAGGGCAGTGCGCTGCTTTCGGACGCCCGAGGCGGCATGCTGCGGACCCGCGTTTTCCGCGCGAAGTACATGGACATGGAAGCGAAGTGCGTCATGTGCGCGCAGGGAGCAGACGAGACGGCGGAACACGTCATTCTGGAATGCACGGGTATAAAGCCGGACGTGACGTACGAACCAGACATGGCGGTGGCGCTGGGTTTCCGGGGTGTTGACGAACAGTACGACGCCGATAGCTCGCAGCCAGTGGAGGTGACAAAGAGGAGACTGGAGTGTTGGTGGAAGAGAGCAAAAGAACACAACTACGTTTTTGGCTAGTGTAGCTACTAGCCAGGCTAGATCCAGCGCTGCTGAGATCCCCCGATACAAAGGGGTTAGCCCCAAATCCAATCCAATCCAATCCAATCCAAAGTCAACACGTTGTTCGTAGTCTCGTCGTCTCGTAGTGCAGGCGTGCAGGCTTGGAGTGAAAATGTCACATATTTTAGTCCGATGGCTGTCGGAGGAGAAATGGGATGTGTACCCTACACGTGTCCTTGTGGACACAGAGCTAGGGCTACGTCTGATGGCGGAGCCCAGCGCCATCAAGGACCTGCGGGGTTCTGTTGTCTTGGTGAGATAAAGCGCGGAAGAGCCGCCTGCAGAGGCGATGTTGATCGAAGCAGGTAAGTGAATGAACATGCACGTGGTTTTCCTCTGACGTCGCTAATGTCTCTAATATTTTGTGCACCGCCTAATGTTATTTTATCCCAAAACTGAATTATCTGTCGCCGGTGTTGAATGACACGAACACCATTGCTCGGAGAACCTTCGTTTCGAAGTCCGCGGCAAGAAAGTTCGACAAGGGTTGTCCCTCGCCATCAATAACATTTCTCCAAGGTCGCGTTGTCATTTCCTGCTTTCAAATCATACAAGTGACGGGAACCGGACGTTTAGGTACGCTGTCTTTCTGGCGCCGCAGGTTTCGGTGCGTGGCTATTCTGGGCTCCGCTGACCTTGCTTCTACAAAGTCATGTGGTGTTTCTGTACCCTAATCTGGATGACTTGGTATAAGCCCTTTGTGCATGCTGCCCAGTGATCTCTATGACAATTGCTGGATCGCGCTTCCCCGCTTCAGAGCCCTGTATAGAGAGTTTCGTCAATGGGAGGCGCGGGGAGTCAGGGCGTGTGCCAGACGTAGAAAGTGGGCTTGACATGCTCTCTTGGCCAACCAGAAGCCTAAAAGAATCCCCTGGCTGGCTAGCGAGAAACTGTTTAATCAAAGGTTCGTATATAGTTTTAATAAGCGCGTAAGAGTGAAATTTAGTAACTCTTCATGGTTGAAAATAGGGTGCACGTGATGTTTCGATCATGATCATTCAGAAAGATGTAAGAAATGAATGTGCCGCTCAACTCTGTTTTGCTCAGACAGTGTGACCACTCGGATGGCAGATTCCCGGCCCTCGGCGCCTGACGTACGGATTATGTCGATCGTTCCGCTAGTCACGCTCTTCCACCATAATTTTCGAAGACCGTAATTGAAACACCTCATGCGCCATATTTTCGTCGCCAAGAGTTACTCCGATGCACTTGTTAAGTTAGTTTCTTGCTACCACCGCCAGGGTTTTTTTCTGACTTCTGGTTGGCCACAATCGACTTTGTGAAGACGTCCTGGAACACGCCCAGCCCTCTTTCGGCCAATGGCACCTCCTCGTTTTGTCTTTTACACTTCTCAACGAATGGCCAAACTCTCTGCATATACGCCTCTGCCCCACTTGGTCGCTGCAGCGCGAGTGAAGCCACCGGACCACCATCTTGCTCATAGGCAAATTGCGGTTTTGCTAGCGTTGCAGAGGCTGGCGGGAGCGTGCTAAAGACACGTTTTCTGCTCGTTCGTCGTCATTCGCCGAAGAACTTTTTAAGGCCCTGTGTAAGCGTTGAGACTTGCAGTTGAGGACACGTGGAAATATTTACGAAAGTGCAGTGCCGCAGGAAAAAGGCTCAACTCGTCGAAAGCAAGTTTTGCCGGTCTCGCAGCATCATCAAAGCTTCCTTTGCACGCAGAAGTGCTGCGTCTCTGTGCCTTCGCTCGCTTGGATACCAATCAAGAATCGACGCCGTGTGGATGTGTTTTGGGAGTTCAATGTGCGTGGAGCTCTATGTGCCTTGGAAGCAGCGTTTTACTTTACTCTGGCAACTGTATTTCTAGCTTACGGCACTCGCGGTCGAGAAATGAGCTTGATCCAGTGTCCAGTGGCGACGGAAAAGGGGGGGAGGGGGGGGTATGGTACGTCTTTTTTTAAGTCGTTAGGCGGTTTACAGAATACCGCGCACACAGCTCCTCATCACTGATCAGTGGTCTGGGGCTCATTATCAACAATTGCTTGGGACATCAACTTTGAGCACGGCTCACCTAAATGTGATTGGTTAACCGATTACCTAGCCTCAAAGATTTTCAGTCTCGTCGTCTTGTACTTTTGCCATCGAAAACCATTCTTGCTCCACAGCATTGCTCTATTTGTGCCGCCATGTGATCCATTAGAGTAGATTTGGAACATAGCCATGGTTAATAGTGCATAAGAGCAGCCATACAGATTGTTTTCCCCCCTTTATTGATAACAAATTGCCGGAACAGCTGGACGATCAAGAACTCTACGGCTGATATATGATACAAAGACATTTACGTGCGACGCATTTTCAGAACTTTGCCACGGCACTGATTCTTGATTGGTATCCAAGCGTGTGAAGGCACAGAGATGCAGTGTTTCGGCGTGCCAAGGAAGCTTTGATCTTGCCGCAAAGCCGGTGAAACATGCTTTCTACAAGTTCTGCCGTTTTCCTGCGGCACTGCGCTTTCGTAAAATTTTTCACATGTTCTCAACGGCAAGTCTCAATGCATACGCAGGGTCTTAAAAACCTTCTTCGGCGAAACATGATGAACAAGTAGACGTGTCTTCAGCACGCTGCCGCCAGCTTCTGCAACACAATTTGTCTACGAGCAAGATGGCCGTTCGGTGGCTTCACTCGCGGGAGCGGGAAGCACAATCCAGCAATTGTCATAGAGATCAGTGACTCTGCTTCATAAGGGTATATAGGTTTTAAACTTAATCTTGGTTAGCATTGATAGGTTGCAGACGAGCTGGTAATGAATCGACACCTTGTAGACCCTGAGATGGGGAAATATAAAAAAACGGACGAAGGAAAACTTTTGTTTTACAAAGTGAGCTATCCTTTGTCTTTTGTTTAGTCATGATATATGTTTTACCTTTTTGTTGTGATGTTTTGATTCTTTTAAATTTTGACTGTCAGTCCTTTCTATACATGGCTTGCATGTACATCAGTTGGCCAGACACAATGAGGAAAAGGGCTCGTGAGAGCATAGCCTCTACCGTGTTAATCTTGCCATCAGAAAGGAGGGCCTTGGGGTACTCAGGGGGGGGGGGGGGGGAGGGGAAGGGGAAGGGGAAGGGGAAGGGAAGGGAAGGGAGGGAGGGTGCATGAGAGCATAGCTTCCTCTGCGCTAACGAGGCACATTTCACCACCAGAAAGGAGGGGTGGATTGACGTCACGTGCAAGCCATGTATAGTTGTTAAAAGCCTACGCGTAAAACTTGAACAAGTAGAGATACAGTCATGGTAAAAATAAATAGGGACAAGGGAGCTGCAACTGAACTACCGAAGGTTCTACCTTTACAGTCTATTTTAATATGAGGGTGAACAGGCTACAATCTTTGATTGCCATTACCTGAGCGTGAGTCGCGCCAATGGGAATGAAGGCGAGAAAGTGCGCATGCGCAGAGAAAAGAAAC